AGATGACACTTTATTTCCTCACTGCTGTGGCATAAAAGGATAATTATATATAATAAGGCCCCTATCTACACATATATTGCCATAGAGTCTTTTTAGGGTATTTTGGGGGTGATAGAGTCCTGCTGATAGTGCCTATTCAGAATCCCTCATGCGACATTGGGGTTTTAATGATTTCTTCTTTTCCAATTAGAGTTGTTTTTCTCATACTTTAGTTTGAGTTATAAGCCTTTTTAAAAGGTGAAAGAATTTTCAGAGATCCCCAAATGAGAAACACGTTGGCTGAGACTGTCTTTGTACTCTTTACAGTGATTTTTATCGGCATAAGTATTGACTTTTGAAGAATAATCTATCAGATGAATTCTAGGCTATTCATGCTAGGGACTGGAATTGTTAATGTAATAAAATACTGGAGATACAGGAACCATTTTCTTTTTCCTTTCATTAGAGTAAATTAGAGGGGGAAAAATGTGGCATAGAGCAAATTAGCACAATATAATTAATGAGGAAACAGTATTATTAGATGTGTCTCCCACCAAATCATTAGTTTAGGGACAAACTATTGAAATCTGATGATGGTAATAACTAACATTTGGGTGCCTATTATACCTAGACACTGTGCTAAGTACTTTACATGGAATGTCCTCACATTAACTTCATCTGGCAGGGTATTATTTTACAGATGAGGACGTTAGGGTTTACTGAGTTAAAGGTAGCACACCCAAGGTGTGGCAGAGCCTGCGTTCAAACTCAAATTGTCCTATACTTTAGAGCCTGTGGTGTTAGAGCAAAGTGTGATTTCAAAAGATTTGTAAAGGGAAAGGAATTCACTAGGCTATGTTAGAGTCACTTTCTCAAAAACATACTGATTTTAACCTGGTTTAGAACCTGTACCAGCATTTAAACTACATTATTTAACTTGTCAGTTTACAAAATTAGGCTATTATGAGGAAGTTCACAAAGCGGATATTAACTGGTTCCCCCTGGGAATTTGTAATGCATTCTTCAGTTCTAATAAATGTATTTTTATATAGTGACCCCTTCCTCCTTTTAATGCTTTATTGTACAAGTGTAAGAATAAACCTTCCTGCATAGAGCATATTAAAAGTTTATCTAGGTTCCCTTGGGCAACTTTGTAAAGATTTCTTAACTGTTGCACTTGCTATATTCACTATCAGATGGTAATGGCTGATTGTGGATAAGTGTTAAAGCTTAATTGGCAAGATCTTTAAACTACACCTTTTAATATCTTGATATCTTGATTAGTTGGCAGTTTGTTCAATGAGCTGTGACGTGGAAATAGATATGTACCTGACATACTTAGGCTCTGCACTAAATGATCTGTTAGCCAAAATTGTTAATGTTGGCTTGGTCTAGATTATTGTGGACAGTGCAGTCTAAGAAAGTAACTGGTAAGGCACACAGTAAAAGGGGAAACAATTATTTCTAAAATCCTGAAGGTTGTCTTAATGGAAATACAGTTCCTTAGCTTATTCCAGAATATTAGGGCTTGTGCCTTGAAAGATAAACTTGGATTTCTTGGTTTTTATGGAGTGGCATAGCTTTAAATGTAAGTGTATTAGTGTTAGATCCATGATAATTTATGGAAGATGGTTAAGAGTGTTGAGGTCCATGACCGAATTTTTAACGGTGTTGCAAGTCATAAGCCTCTTCCATAAACTGCACCTTCATACCAAGGTCAGACAGGATTCTTATTTGGGTGAGTCATTTGATCCAACCCAGGAGACCTCATCTAAAACAGTACTTTTTAATTTAATTTTAAATTTAAATCAGTACTTTTTAATTTTCAGGTTTTTATTCTGGTAAGATTTGAGTACCTAATCAAGTTCCATGTTATACAAATACCTTTACTTTCCAATTGAATTAATATTTATTTTGCTCATAAGTATCTCAGGCATTATAGGGGCTGTCTATGCTTGTAGAATTTATACTCTGGCACATGTATTCAGGCTGTTGTTTTTCACCTAAAATACCTGGAGTAGGAAGTACCACAAGAAGGTCACACACCTTTTAAATGCCGTTAGAAACAACTTCAGAATGTGATATCTTCACTAATCATTTACTCGTATGAAATACTCTATACATACAAATAGTATTTGGAAGCCATATATAATCTTTAAAATTTATCTCATCATTTAAAAACTTTTCACACCACATTTTCCTCTGAATGATGTAGGACAGGGCAAATTTCCCCAAGTGCGGGGGCGGGGTGGGTGAGGAGACCGAGCCCTGCACTGAGAGAAGAGGGCCCTTTGGCGGAGAGTGTAGAAAGAATTCAACACACGCCAAAGTTAGAGTCAAAAGGAAAGTTTATTAGAAAAGGGGCAACACTCCACCCGATAGAGTGTGGTCTCCTCTTAGAGGCAGAGAGTGAGAAGGACCCTGGAGTGTTTGGGAATTCAGTTAATCCATCATTTTTTAGTTCCTGTGTGTTACAAGTTTAAAGACTGTTTACCCATTTCCTTTGATACGGACATACAGTGAGGAAGGGAATGGGGAAGAGTATGTAGCCTGAAAAGCCTGCTGGCAGTTTTAGCCATAGGGTAGTGAATGATTTTATTTTGTGTAGGGCAGGGTTTTCCCTGTTTCCCCTTCAGAGTGTGGGGAATGAGTTGTTAGCAATCTCAGCAGAAATCTTTGTTTTGAAGGTGTCCTGGCCTGGCAGCAGGGCTGATTAGCATATTGCAGTCTCTGAACAGCTTAATTTAACATTTTAATTCACTTGCTTCCTCCCTACTTTATTCTCCCCTCAGATTTTATTCTTTTATTCTTAAGGGGATGTGGAGGAATGCAAGGGCTGTCTTCTGTAACTTCTTCAAAGCTGAGATAGGGCTGTAGTCCCTGCCTACTGGGTATAAAAATCTGGAAGCCTATTCTAAGGGCCCTGGAGGCAGAGACCATGAGGTTGTTCCAACATTTGGAAGTAGCAGGAAGCCTTGCAGCCTGGAAGAGATAAACTTAGCAAAAAGATCGAAAGGACAAAAGTCAAAATTAATAGTAGAGGTAATTGTCGATGAAGTTGCTTTTCATGGCAATTTGTTTATTCAGGGTAAAGATATCTAGTGAAAAGAAATCGAATCATTTTGAAAAGAGAGTAGTGGCATAGCCACTGGACTAAAAGAATAATTATTTGGAAAAGTCCCTTGCTTCCCTGGGATGTGTGTACTTATCTATTTTCTGGAACAAGAGCTTAATATCTTCCACAGGTTCACAGGTTAGGTTGCACTTCTCGTTTCATTTTCTGGAAGAACCTGTGAGGACTCATAAGAGACTGGTTTAATTCAAGACAGATGTACCCAACTCTTGATTCCTTGTAATTTGACAGCGTTGAGGAACCTAACAAAATTTGGTAGGGCCCTTTCTGTTTGCCTTGAGGGCTGACTTTCAGTAGATCTCAGGGAGCTGCTCTGCTTGAAGGAAACCTTGACATAGAAGCTGGTTGTCTCTGAACAGTTTAGCACCTGGTGGTTTGTGTGATGGGCAAGGGGGCTGCCACCTTTCTGGCAGCACCCTGTTTTCCAGGATGGCGGGGTGGGGGCACTGCATTGGACCCTAATCCCTGAAGTGCAGTGGGGAATTTCATTGCTAGTCTCAGTCTCACAATGGGAAAAGTAAATTACCTTATGTTTGGCTGGCTGTTGATTCCTGTCACTGTGCAGTTAGCGTTGGAGAGAGGCCCATGGCCCATGGGACAGGTCAGGACAGGGTAGGTAGCTCTAATATCTAGTAAAAATTCAGTTTTCCTCCCTGCCATGTTGAGGGTTACCTGAGGCTCCACT